TTTTATTACTAATTTTTTATATTTTCTTATTTTCTATAGTAAAATATTTTTGCATATAATATAAATATTGGTATAAATTTTATACGAATATTGGTCTTTCTTTATGTTTTCGTTCACGCTGCCAGCTCTAGCTTTGCTTCGCAACATTCCAGCTAATCGCTTAGCAACATGTTGCTGCAACAGCATTTAATTGTTGCCTAGCCTAGCAGCTATTGGCGCAGCAGCTTATTCTCCTTCGTTTATTTTTCTCATTTTTGCCTGCAATTATTGTGCGATTAGAAAGTTTGCCGCTGCCTCATATTGATATACAAATGCCGCCTCAAAAAATGTCCACACACATGCATATGCATATGCATACTTATGTATATGTATGCATATAGTTCGCATGTGGAAATGACGTTGCTGCTGCTCTCCAAGTGGGCTAATGGCATATTTATTTATCACCGCCATTTGTTGCGACTTTCCAAGCGTGCCGCACTCACGTGCTTGGTAGGTTCTGCCCATTTCGTACTCATTATTATAGAGTCCTATGCTCTCTTTCTCTCTCGCCACAGCGCTGCGTTGTACCAGGCGCACAGCAAACGCCAGTCGAGCATCGGGTGTAGCTGGGCCACTCGCATGAAGCGCTCATGCTGAGAGAAGGCATAAATACATACATACATGTATATGTATATGTGTGTGTGTGTGTGTGTGTGTATAATTTGTACTTTGGCAATTCTTGGCGGCCAAGAAAATTCCCATAGACGCATGAATGCGTGCGTGTGCGTAAGGTTGTGAGTGTGTTTTGTGTGTGTGTGTGAGTGCGTGGGTGGGCGAGTGGGCTGACTCGCAGCTGTTTACCTAAGGCCACGATTGAAGTTTCTTTGGTGCTGAGCAGCAGAACCAAGAAAACTTTGCAAACTCGTCAACTGTGTCTCTTATCTAATACGATTTTGTTAGCAACAATTTACAATGTTGGGCAACATTTCATTTAGAATATATTGCCTAATTTAGCAAAATATTATTTTTGATAACCTTTTACATTATATATTAAAATTTCTATATTTATAAAACTCTAACTTTATTTACATGAGTTCCATATAACAAAGAATTTACTTCTTGTTTAATTCAACGTTCATATAAAAATAAAAATAAATTCAAAATGAGCACTGGTTTCTACGAAGAATTTAAAAAGCATATTTTAGCAACCGTAAGATGGAAAGTTATTAAATTAAAATTTTTGAACACATACATACATTCTGCAACATAAAATTGTCAAAATAATTATTGGACAATATTTAGAATATAGTGCAACATTTTATTAAATATATATAAAT